GCTGCTGCAGCAGCGCTGCTGCAGCAGCTGCTGCAGCTGCTGCTGCTGCTGCAGTTGCAGAGAGCTGCGACCTTTCTTTTAATCCTTTTGGTGCTCATATGCATTAGTCTAGACTGCGTGTGTTTGCTGCCCGTGGCTTCGGGTGTATGTACACTGCGCCGACTCGGCCCCAGCGCAGCTTGGCTTGCTGCTGCTGCTGCTGCTGCTGCTGCTGGTTGCTGCTGCGCCTTTCGAAGCAGACAGCCGCGGGGTGTCTCTACACCTCAGCAGCAGGCGCGGGGTGTCTGTACACTCAACTCGGGCTCGAGCTCTTGGTTCATTCTTTCTTCTTTTGCTTCGACTTTGCCGGCAAACCCTCAGCAGCAAACGGGGGCAAAACCCTAAACCCTAAACCCTAGCACCCCCCGCCCCACCACCCCCCACCCAGCTGTACGTACACCCCAAGGGGCCTCAACAACACCCTCAAAATGTTCTTCATTGCCACTTCTTTCTTTCTTTAGTAAAGCCCCCAGGGGGCCCCTCCAGGGCCTTCGGGGGCCCCCCAAGGGGGCCCCCAGAGACTTGGGGGCCCCTCCAGGGGGGTCCCCCAAGACTTAAAAGCCCCTCCCGGGGGGCCCCCTTCCTAGGGGTCCCCCGCAGTTGAAGAGGCCCCTCTACAAAGCCCCTTGTAAGCTCTTTCTAGGGGCCCCCGAAGGGGGGGCCCCTAGAAAGAGCCCACTGGGGGCCCCCTAGAGGGGGGCCCCCCTAGGGGGGCCCCCTTGGGGGCCCCTAGGGGGCCCGCCAGTGTCCGTCAGCTGTTGTGTAAGACCGCTAGACACTGCCGCTGCAGCAGCCGGTCAAAGTCGTCAGTGTCTCCAGCCTCGTACAGCACCTTCCAGCTGCTGCTGCTGCTGCTGCTGCTGCTGTTTGGTTTGCTGCTGCTGCGTGGGTCGCTGGTTTTGGTGCTGCTGGTGCTGGCCGGGCAGCTGCTCTTGCTGCTGCTGATCAGCTTGCTGTTGCTGCTGCCGGGGTCACTGCTTTTGCTGCTGCTGCTGCCGGGGCAGCTGCTTTTGCTGCTGCTGCTGCTGCTTAGAGACGGCGGCTGTGCTGCTGTTGTTGCCAGGCTAAAGTCACTGGTGGGCGAGGGCTCACTGCCCGGGGCTGGCTGGCCGCTGCTGCTGCAGGTTATGCTGCTGCTGCTGGGGCCTTCATGTGGCTGCGGGCTGCTGCGGCTTCTGCTGCTGCTGCTGCTGCTGCTCCTGGGGGCTTCTGGCTGCTGCACGCTCGCACCCTCTGAAGTGTCTGTACACTGCGCTGCTGCTTTTGCCAGCTCCTCCGCCTCTGCAAACTGCCGCTGCTGATTCTCCTGCTGCTGCTGATCTTCTCGTTGCTGCTGTTGCTGCTGCTGCTGCTCCGCAGCGCCTGCATATGGTGGAGCCGCCGCTGCAAACGTCTCGGCTGCAGCGGCATCTGCAGCAGCAGCAGCCGCTGGTTGTTG